ATACGTTTGCCAAATGCCAAGATGAAATGTCCGGAGCTTTAGCCGCCGCTGCAGAGAAAGAAATGCAGGAGGCTGCTAAAGTGGAAAGACAATTAGCAATTGCAAGGGGTGATGTCACTGACGGTATTGCATATATACCTGTGATAACAGACGGTTCCTGGATGAAAAGATCGTACCGCAGTGGTGGTTACGATTCTCCATCCGGGACGGCTATTATCATGGGTTATCATACGAGAAAAGTTTTATTTGTCAGCGTGCGAAACAAATATTGTTGTATTTGCGCACGCGCTAGTAAATTAAATGTTACGGTCCGCGAACACGAATGTTACAAAAACTGGGGAACTAATCAGAGTTCCACCAGTATGGAAAGTGACATCATCCTCGAAGGCTTTCGTTGCAGCTTAGAAATGTACGGATTAATATATTACAAATATATTGGCGATGGCGACAGTAATGTTCTTAAAAAATTAAGAGATTTCCCACCGTACAAAAATGTTGTTGCGGAGAAGATTGAATGCATCAATCATCTTCTCCGCAACCTTTGTAAAAAAATAGAGGAAATTAGTAAGAGTGGTGGTCGAAGTCTCTTAAAATTAAGAAAAATTGTTGCGCAAAGTAGTAAAGCGTTTCGTATAAATATTACAAGAGCTGCAACGTTTCGCCGTAACAGCGATGCAACTTGGGAAAATAAAATTGCTGGTTTAATTAAAGATTTAAGTAATATTCCTAGCCACATTTTTGGGGAACATAAAGATTGTTCCTCCCTTCCATACTTTTCCAATGAAGAAATAAAAGAAGGCGAGGAAAATCTTGTTCCCCAATTACAAATGGCAGGATTATATGCAAAAATAGAATATGCGATGAAACGCATTATTGATAACGCAGAAAGCGTATTATATAATTATACCAGCAATTCTGTAGAAAGTTGCAATGCTGTTATTGCTAAAATGATCGGTGGCAAACGTATTAATTTTGCTAAAAGAGGTTCTTACCAAACGCGTGTAAAAGCATCAGTACTCCATTATAACACTTCGAAAGCGCTGAGTACTGCTTGCTGCACGATTGGTAAAGTGCCTCCAATTCGAGCAGTAGAGGTTGAAAAAATGAAAATGAGACAGCGCGCACGATATGCGCTGCGTGTTAAGACAGCGTTAGAATTGGGTGCACCTGTTCGTAGATCAAAATATGCGGCCAAAGCGTTTAGAGCCGATAAAGATTATGGGCCAAACGCCGAACGGCCGGATATTGATGATAACATGTACGAACAGTTGAAAGCCAATTTTTACGAAACGCTATTCAATCAACAGCGTAATAGAGACGTGTTAGAATATGTAACGCGGGGTCAGCATGCAAACCCGCAGTGGCATTATACACGTCGAACGCTGTTGACTGCATCAAATTTTTCGAAAGTTTGTTGCAGAAGGGATACCACGTCGTGCAAAAATCTCATAAAAAATATTCTTTACCCTCCTAAATTAACGAGTCTTGCAATTAAGTGGGGTAAAGAAAAAGAGATTTTAGCACGACAAGAATTGGAGGAGATTCTGGGAATCAAAATCAATGAGTGCGGATTATTCATTGATTCTGAATTCCCATATTTTGGTGCGTCGCCTGATGGCATTGTTGGAGAGGATACAATTGTCGAAATTAAATGTCCTTATGCAGCGCGACAAATGTCTCCAACCGATGCAATAATAAATAAAGTTGGAGAAATGTATCGAATTTTTAATAAAAACGATGACACCCGCATGAATGAAAAGGACGGGTATTATTATCAAATTCAAGGGCAATTGCACATTACGCAACGAAAATATTGTATCTTCGCGATATGGACGCCTTTCGGAATCAAGCACACAATTGTTGAGCGTGATGACACGTTTTGGCAAATGAAAATGTTATCACCGCTGAAACAATTCTATGAGGAGTGCTTGGTTCCCGAACTAATTGATAGCAGAGCGGCAAGAAACATGCCAATTCGGGAGCCGCAATTTTGTCTGAATGTACAGCAAGCGACTAAAAAAAGGAAATTGAACGAATAAGCGCGATAACTTGCATTTCAATTATATTGCGCTAGTTCGATCAATTTTCGAGTCGCTTGGGAAGAGGTGGTGGGCACATTCTGCTTATTACTGCAATATTTTTGTAACATTGATTTAATCATATTTTTACAGTAATAAGCAGATATAAAAATATACAGTACAAAAGTACGTATAACAATATTATACAGTACATAAGTACGTATATAGCAATATACAGTACAAAAGTACGTACAACAATGTACAGTACATAAGTACGTACACTACCGCTCAAAAGTATGTGGGCGCTTACATTTTCTTGTTATTTTCTTACATTTTCTAGCTTTTGTAATTTTTTATACATATTATATGTTTTTATTGTTAACCAAAATTGTTCATAAGTTTCAGTATTAATATGAAGGTAATGTATTATAATATTACTAAATTATCAATTTATTTATTCAACTTTCTGAAAGAAATATATGTGTTTTTTTGCGTTGCTTGCGTAGAGTTTGTGGGTCTTTTCTCTGACAGTTTGCAATGACTGCATCGCTGAAGTGAGGTCTGTTGCCTTCTCAAGACTAACGTAAACATTTGTAAACATGATTATATAGCTAGGATGCCACGACACGGAAATGCAAAAATTAAACCACGCGGTGGATTTGTTAACAAAAGGAAAATGTAAACATATTTCAGCACTATCGGTAAGATATTTAACAAATTATTATTACAATATGTCGTCTAACACCGGAGGAAGTGGAATACATACACGATAAACAAATAATTCAAAGATATCACAATGTTTTCAGGCATCTAAAAAAATTGAAGAAGTACGTACGTATAGCAATATACAGTACAAAGAATTTTTAAAATTCATGTTATATTTTCTTACAGCATTTTTTATACTGCGTGCTATATTTTTAGTAGTAGATGTTAAACCTTAATTTCTGTAGTAATAAAACGTACAATGTTTTCAATTCTGTAAATTTAAAACGCTGTTTAACCCTTTGCACTCCTATGTCGAGTGTGGCTCGATATCACATTTTTCTTGAATCATATATATAATTCAGATAAATAGATTGGTTGAGTGTATACATTTTCATTTATT